GTTCAGTGCTAACCTGGACTGGAAAGGCGTCGCCACGAATCTTCCAATGAATCGGCACCCAAGTAGCCCTTATAGCTCGCCTACCCTCACCCGGGTGGAACTACTTGAGTGCTTCGATCGTACGAAATAAAAACTATCTATCTCCCTTGGCCCATTTCTACTATCAATTTAAAAACATGCTTCTATTTTCGGCCTCTCTGTCCTCCCCTCCTCTCGCCGTGCTCACTCTCGTTCTCTCTCTCTCTCTCTTTGTTCACTTCCCCCTCTCTATCTCACTCGCGCTCTCTATCTCTATCTCTCTCTCTCTCTCTCTCTCTCTGTTCACTTCCCCCTCTCTATCTCACTCGCGCTCTCTCTCTCTGTTCACCCCCCCCTCTCTCTCTCTCTCTCTCTCTCTCTCTTTCTCTTCCTCTTGCTTCCTCGTGCCTGTCCGCCTGTCTGTTTGCCTCATGACGGCCTGTGTGCGGAAAGTCTCTGTTTGATTTGTATCTGTGGTGACGGGTCGTTCATCGGAATTTTGATTATGTATACACATTTACCAGGTCCACATGTTAAGCAGAACAAACTTTTCTATTTATCACAATCTAATAATATTTTCAAGGCCCCGTATATGCCAATATGTGAAATTATTCGTTGAATTATGAACGGATGTATTGGATAATTATCCACAAACAAAACCATAAAAGTCATTAATGAAAATGTAGAAGTAAAATTATTATTTGGTCACGACATGGCGAACTCGGTGCTTTTAAGAATTTAAGACTTTTGGTCGGTATTAATAGCTCGTCTAATCACACAATTAACTCAATAAAGTACCTTTATTAAACATTACAATATATTGGATTTTAATTTTTACGGATAAAACGTGAGAAATATTTTCTTCTTTATATTTGGAATGTGTAAATATTTCAAGTATATACGACTAACGGATATTTATATCAGCAAATATAAACTAATTCTTTATCAGATGAGAACTTTCAATCTGCATTCGTTCAATAATTAATAAATTAATTTATTAATGATGTAAGAATTAAGAAGTAATCTTTTGTAATAATAATATCTTATCTAATGTCGAACGGCGAATGCAATTGATATTATTAATTTCTTCTAGATTTAATGATATTGAGTTATAATATCAACTTGATTTATGAAATAAATTAAGTTTTATTCATTTTCATTAAATATTTATATTTACACGAGAATATGTACACTATTTTTTATCAATTTGATGCCTAAACTAATGGAATTGATCGATTACGGAATTCAGCATTTACACAATTATAACTAAATTCTATGTACGTACTAGATAACATTTTATTAATAAAGTTAAATTTTTATCCATTTTTAGTATTATTTTATTGAATATATCTTTAAAACGCAATATTTTTATTTATCGTGGTTGTAACGGATTAAATAAACACAGCCGCTCGCAAAAAACAGTACTCTAATGTGTACATTTTTTGTTTACCGAATTAATCGCGTTTAACTATTGTAACAGTCAACTAAATCGAATAAAAATACATTCAATTCCAAATTGTAGCAAAATTTTTTTGTCTCTACCGATGAATTAAATTATAATTTACATATTAATATTTACAAATATTTCAAATGTTATTCGTTGTAGTAAAAATATGTAATTAATTGATTCTTAAATACAATTTATTATAAATAATATGCATCCCAGCAATCTAATTAATTTAAATACCAGAATAATTCATTCTATTTTATACGTAGATATAATATACATAAATAATATTCAATATGCATTGCCAATTTTAAATATTGAAATATAAGTATGTATGCATTTGAACTCGATAACTTCGATAATAAATGTAACAGTATAATTTTATAATTATTTAATGTATTTTTAAAACGGAATAATATTATAAATGTTAATACTATTTTTATAAAATTTTATTTCACATACAAATTATTTATGTTTAATCATTACGTGAGAAATAACGTAAGTGGCAGAACATCTTTTAAAACCTTCATTCTAAAGACATTAACTATGTAGGAAATGCATTATTACTACGTTAAATTAATAAGACGAGAAGAGATTATTATGCGATTACGCTACTTAAATATATATATATATATATATATATATATATATATATAATAAAAGCGCATCGAGACATTATTATTCCTCTAATGAATTTAAATATGCAATTATTATTACTTAGAGCCGAAAAAGTAATTTGTTAATTATCGACAATAGATATTGAAAACAATGTGAATAATGACAATGACTACTTTCTTTGTTCTTCAAGTATGAAAATATAATTCATGTAAGAAGCATCGTTACTTTAAAGCTATTCACAGGCCCTTTACCAAACGTGCAAGCACATTCTTGAATTGAAAGTTGGGGGAGAATCGAGTGTGCAACGTATGTACATGTAAAAGCGCTTTGGCTCTCGTTGATTCAATATAGCAGCTAATATAGCGAAATGGCTTTATAGGGGGTAATCGTTCGCAAGTAAGATACAGTCGGAGAGAAAGACGGAACGTGAGACAGCTCGCTGTTAATTGGCACGCTTTGAGTGTTCCTTCAACATATAAAGAAAGAGGCGAAAGAGTCAGAGAAAGATAAAGAAAACGAAGGACTATGAACCACATTACAAAAAGAACTTCCTTTTTCCGGCCAATGGAAAAGATCGCCGTGTACCTTAAGTGGGTTTGCCATGGACTTGAGATCCGAGGCTCAGTCGTTAACGAATAGGGAGAGGATACACGTTAGCCAGGTAGATATGACAAAAAGAAGAAGAAGTAGAAGAAGAAGAAAAGGAGAAGACAAAAAGAAAAAGTAAAAGGAAGAAAGGAAGGAAGGAAAGAAGGAAGGAAGGAAGGAAGGAAGGAAGGAAGGAAGGAAGAAAGGAAAGAGGGAGGGAGAGAATTCAAAGTGGAGATAAAAATGAGGGGAGATGATAAAAATGAAAGAAGAGGAAAATGGCTGAGTTGAGGACAGGTGGAGAGAATGCAGTCGCTATCTTTCTCTTTCTTTCTTAGAATTTCGATCTCTGCCTCGTTTAAACTTACTTTACTCGCGGCCCTGTTGCTGCTGCCAAAATCTTTTGCGAGCTCCAGTGTTTTTTTTCTTAGAGAACTACGTCTCTACACTACGGTTTCTACACTACGCCGGCGTCTGTTATGTGGTGTCGTACATTGTACATTGTGCATCGACGATTGAGTCTACGAGATGGCATGAAGAGATAGATAGATAGAGAGAGAGAGAGAGAGAGAGAGAGAGAGAGAGAGAGAGCCACGACTAGAATTTGGTAGCAAAAAGAATATTTACGAGAGATGTTGTTTGTTTATCAACGCTTTGTTCAATCATATCATTTTCAATTTCATAAAGTTTACGAGCAGCCATATTGACATTCAAATTTAACAATAAAATACAGTTATTCACAATGCAATAAAGACCTGAATGAAATTTAAAGATTCGCATTTATCGTTTGTTTTATAGATAAAGGAATTTCATTCGGAGAGCTTAAAACATTGAGTGTACTAGAAAAATTGTCTTCGTAAAAAAAAATGAGGCCTTTGCTTTGGGGATATTTTTTACTTACTAAAGTTGAATATCATATGCTTCAATTTTGTCTAATACTATGTCGAACTTATTCAACGTTCGACGAATATTTTATTTATACGATATTCGTATTACCGAATCTAATTATAAACTTTAAAGTTCTGTCAACTTCTCTCGCGAATAGTCATCAACAATTTCTTAAACAATTCTCAAAGAAAACAATAATTCATTATACATTCTCTCTAAATACTATATATTTTTCATTTATAATAATCAATGCAGTATTTACTAATTATAGTATAATATATATATATAGATATATTTGAGAATAGTTTTGTAGGAAAAGAAAGGGAAGGGACATTAAAATAAAAGAAATTGATAAGGGTGGAGGAAAGTATGAAATAAATAGTGTAAACAAATTTAAAAAAAAAAAAAAAAAAAAAAACCGTTAAAAACGACGAAATAGCGTATGAAAATTGGAAGGAGAGAAGTGGTAAAGGTAGTTAGTTGGAAACGGACGAGAAAGCCGGACAAAGAGAAAAAAAAAAGTATAAAGCCCGTGCTTTCTTTTATTACAAAAAAGCAGAGTTAGGAAAAGATGTCAGTCGAATTTCTATGGACTGCTATTTAAAATGGAGAAATTATGAGGGACTTGAGCTTTAAACGGTATTTTCAAACGAAAGAGATTATAGAACTCTAAGCGCAGACTACCTAAAACGTCTGAAAATCTTTTAAGATGTTGCAGCCTGTTTTTTCTTTATTCTGCAGGGTAAAAGGAGTAGTGGATTGAAATGCTATTTACTCAATAGCTTTTTACTTGGAATTTTCTCACACGGAGCTTTTTGAGGCCGAGCGAGGTAGAAAATTGAAACTAATTTGGTTAGTTTACTTTGTTTTAATGCATGAAATTTAACTTTTATAAAACCGATTCCTTTTCACTTTGGAGCTGAATTTATTATGTTTCGTTGTACAATGGTGACGAGCAATTACGTACATCGAGCGAAAGCCCATGTTTACTCTAATTTACTTAGCCAACTCGTCATATTCATTATTAATAAAATGAAATTCAAGGCATTTTATAGTTGGGCTAAAAGTGGGCTATTAACTTGAAACTTAAGCTTTAAACAGAGAGCTTTATTTTTACTTAATAGATTGAACGACTCGCTAAAAAATTCTACCAGTTAAGGATTCCATTACATTCCGAACGTAATTACTTGAATCGTTAAAATTTAATTATCAAAGTTCTCGTTTTACCTCACTCTCTGCATATCACTTTTTCGTCCCTTTTTAACCATATATTTGTAATGAAATAGGGATGGTACGGATGGAAAATTAAAAATCATTTTAAGCACTTTCCTTTCTACGCCCTGTATGCTCAAAATTATAAGATAACCTCGCAGTTGCGAAAAAAGGGTAATAAATATTTATGAGCTATTTAATTTTCTCACGAGAGAGAAAAGCAAAGTACCTCTTCGTTTTATCCAATTCGTAAAGCTCGTTCACTATTCATCTATCGAACTGTATTACGTACTTGATAAGAGTTCACCACGCTCTTGTGTCTTCTTTCAGCAGACAAATGTACAATGGAAAACAATAATACCCGGCGACCACAAACTTTTCAAATTATCTTTATTTTCTTTTTTTTTTCTTTTTTTTTCTTTTTTTTTTTTTTCTTTTTCCTTTTTTTTCCCCGCACTTTCTAATCGCCCGACATCATAAAACTTTACGTACTAACTAGTACTAACTTCGGCTCGAGATTTTAATTCTCATCCTCTTTTAGTGCACCGTTATCTCCTCCCCCCATCCACGCGTCGATCATTAATTGACCGGTCAATGAAGAGGCTCGCGACAAACGTTAAAAAACTTCTCCAGCAATAAGAAGTCCGTATCCCATCGGGGATGTGACATCCCTAATATTACTCACATAAGCTCTCCAATTGCAAAATAATAATTAGTCACATTCACTAGCGCTTAACAATATATGCTTATCATTGTATTCACATAAATTAATCGCCGGCACATTGCGTATAATATTGAAGCTAAACACGCCGTCCGTTACTCTTCCATCCAAGTTGCACGTGCACATTCATTGATTCTTATTGAAAATGTCTCGATTCGCAATGCGATCTACAATTCATCGAGGCCAAATCGAGCATTCGCCTCCACGACGAAATGACTGACAACACGGCCCAAATTAACAACTCGATTAGTGCTCGATCGACGCGATCTTAATCATCTAATTCCTGATCCACCCATCAATTCCCCACTAAACTGCCGCTCGCGATTCCCGATACGATTTTACTTCGGCACCCACGCGACTTACCCATCCACCCAAGCCGCCCATCTATTAAACAGTCGCTCCAAACATTTGAAGCAGCCACACGAGAGAACAAGGACTTGTCAACGCTCAGGTAATCAGCTAACACCAACGGAAAGTCCTTCGAGCCCCGTGACTTTCACCAACGCCAAAATAACAACCACCCGACGCACCTACGTTCAATTACGTAATAACCGACACTCCTGCAAGCGAGCTGCGATCTCGGGCGCTAAACGACAACGAGGATAAATTCGCGGGAGAGCGCCGCTCGATCGCGAGTAGTAGACGTACAAGAGCGGAGATGTCTCTCGCGGCTCGCCGGCAACTACCGGCTCTCGACAATCCGGCCTCGGTGCCTCCTCTCGGCCTCCCGCCCCTCAATCGCCCGCCCTCCCACCACCGCCACATTCTCCGCCACCTTCTTCTCCGTCCTCCTCCTCCGTCCGCCACCTCATCCTCCTCATACTTCCTCCTCCTCATCCCTCCACCTCATCCTTCCGCCTCCTCATCCCTCCAACTCATCCCTCCAACTCATCCCACCAACTCATCCCTCCTACTCATCCTCCAACACCGTCCTCCAACACCGCCCTCTGCCGCCACCACCTCTTCCACCTTCTCCTCCTCCACCACTGCTGCTGCCGCCACCGCCGACGTCGCACCACCACCGCCACCACCAACGCCGCTACCGCCACCGCCACCACCGCCGTCGCCGTCGCCGTCGTCGTAGTTCCTCTTACCGGCCGAATCCAGCCCCCCGCCGCCGACGCCGCCGACGCCGCCGCCGTCACGAAGTAGTTGTTGCGCAATGCGCGCGCGCACGCACACTGAACGTGCCTCGTCGAGTCAGCCCGTCTCTGTCGCCGACGACGCCGATCCCGCGACGATGCCATTCATCCCTCAAATGGGTACCTGCGAACGGCCGAGAAAGGGAGAATGGTAACGTCACGTATACCTAGGCATTGTACATTGGCATTGCTGCGGATGCTCCTTGAGAGTTTCTCGTATAACTGTAACTACACCCCCACCCATCCCCCTTATTTCTCGCGATTCCATTACTACTCCATTCGTTCGCCGCAGCCGTCGCGCGCTTTCCTACTTACGCGTGCATCATTCTCCATCTACATGCGCGTTTGCGCAATTATATTCGCATAGCCATGCAACAATACACCTCGATGTACCGCGACTTTCGCACTCCTAGCTCGCGTACTCGAATTCGTTTATTTATACTTACATATTGAAAAATTCGTACCTGTCAAGCCCATATAAATGTATATTCCTCCTTGGATAAAACAAACTACGTCCCGTTGCGCAAAAACATTCACTCCTTCGCTCAGCTTATTATTATAAGTTTTGTTATTTGACAAAATCGCGATAAAACTTGCTGTTCTGGAAAATATTGTCTATGAGTTTGGCTAGTCGATAGGCGAAGCGAGGATTTATCCAAGTTTAAATAGTTTTCACTCGACAAAGAAGTGATGTACGGCCTCTTGTCGATTGCGCCAAAAGCGCGATAATTTAATAGTTTATCGAAAAACTTTGTAATTGTAAATTGCGTAAATAAAACGTCTGCTTGACTTTGGAAAAAAGTCTACGACGTCTTTACGTTTATTTGTACGTGTATTGCGAAAAACTTGAAACATAGTTTTATGGTAATGCGCATGTAAAAGCAAACAAAATTTGATTGAAATAATGAGGAGAAATATTTAAATGAAGCATTCATTTTAATTGAGAGCTACTAATCGAAACTAAATAACTATATCTTTATCAATATTTATCACTTTTCCGATTCTTAATCTATGCATCTAATAATGCATTACGCTTGAATTGTCACAAGTGAATGCACAACGCGATGGCATGAAATTGACAATTCACAATTTTCGGTCACACTCGCTTATCAATTCGAATCATTTGTTTGATCAATTGTTAATTTGAATGTCGCGTGTTGGCTTGAGGATTGAGGATAAATAATCTAGTTGTATCAGGATTATTACCTTAAATTATCCATATTGACCGTGCAACAGTATTGCAAAACAACGCCCTGTGTTACATATTTAAACCTAACCTGGCCAGGATTATCCAACTCATGTAAAATTCGCTTGATTTTGACCATTCGTTATTTACTAATTAAACGCCTCCCTTACCTCATATGTAGCCGCCGCAGATTTATAAACGCAAGACAATCTCGTAGATGACTGGCTGCATTGGAATCGGAAAACCTGCCGAGGATTAGCGGACCTACGCGACCCCTACGTGCACATTACGTCGAAATATTAAATCTCAAGGGAGAAAAACAATTGCCCGAGTCTATATGACTCTGACTCCACATTTACATCGTCCACAATGTCCAAATCGTCGGTGCTTAACGCCAAGTCATTTTCCTTGCGCCTTTTGCCCTACCTCAGCGTACCCCACTTCTCAGCTCCAGCAGGCGCAATGCCCGACACATAGGGAAATTGCAGCTCGGTGCGAGAAACGAGTTCCGTGGCGCGTTATGTGCGGGAGATAAGTTCGCGAACATAGCAACGACGCTTATCGAGCCATCGAGATCAAATTCTCAGGAGCGAAGAAGCGACCTAGCATTAGCAAACTTTGAGCGAAGGAGAATTGGCGAGTGGGAATTGGTCGAGGGTACCGGGGCTTCGCGCGCGGAGGATCGCTCCAGGTGCTGAGACAGCAAGCTGAATGAATCATGAGGACGTATGAAGCATGCGAGAGACCTCATGCATATTCGAAGAGATTTTTTCGCGGAGGCCTCAAGAGCTATGAGGATTTTGACACCCGCGGTCTGTCAAATGCGTACCGAGAGGTGCGCCGACACCCCTTCCCCTCTCCCAATCCTTCCCGTCGCCCTTCCCCGTGCACCGTTCACGGTGGGAGCAATATTTTTCAAACGTCATTATCGGTTTGCCTTTGTTTTTATTATTGTCATTTCATTCCTTTTTTTTTATTTTAAATTTTCTATATATTTGTTCTCTTTTGTTTCTTTTTTAACTTGTTTTTTTGTTTTTTTTGTTTTTTTGTTATATTTTTGTTTTTTTTTTTGTTATATTTTTGTTTTATTTTTGTTATATTTTTGTTTTATTTTTGTTATATTTTTGTTTTATTTTTGTTATATTTTTGTTTTATTTTTGTTATATTTTTGTTTTATTTTTGTTATATTTTTGTTTTATTTTTGTTATATTTTTGTTTTATTTTTGTTATATTTTTGTTTTATTTTTGTTATATTTTTGTTTTATTTTTGTTATATTTTTGTTTTATTTTTGTTATATTTTTGTTTTATTTTTGTTATATTTTTGTTTTATTTTTGTTATATTTTTGTTTTATTTTTGTTATATTTTTGTTTTATTTTTGTTATATTTTTGTTTTATTTTTGTTATATTTTTGTTTTATTTTTGTTATATTTTTGTTTTATTTTTGTTATATTTTTGTTTTATTTTTGTTATATTTTTGTTTTATTTTTGTTATATTTTTGTTTTATTTTTGTTATATTTTTGTTTTATTTTTGTTATATTTTTGTTTTATTTTTGTTATATTTTTGTTTTATTTTTGTTATATTTTTGTTTTATTTTTTTTTTTTTTGTTTTTTTTTTTGTTTTTAAATATACATTTTCGCCATACAGTCGGCTGGATTTTATTCGCCGACACACACTCTTGGCCTTCTTGATTTATTTTTCATTCTTTTGAAATCGCTCGCTCCGCAATAATTGACACAACACAGGAAAATAAGGTATTAAATTGGTAAAAGTGTGAAGTAAAATAGAACGTACGAATTAATCATCAAATAATAGATTTATATGACAGAAAAATATAAACTAATTTCAATCGAAATCTAATTTAGGTTAATTGAAATGTTAGCCAGTCTGAAAGGTATAATAATTTAATTCGGTAAATTCAAAGTAATGCAAATTTTCGGTATTTAATGGTAGACTAATCTTATTTTCTATAAGCTTAAATAGCACTTTCAAAAAAATCAGAACAATAAACGCAAAATCTTTGTTCCTCCGCGCAATTTTCATGTAGGCTATGAATTTATATATACCAAACCCAACGTATAAGTATTGGTTGAAAATTTAGTAAAAATAATCTTAAAATAATTAATCGACGTATAAATAATAGTTATAAATAGGTGAATAATAGTTGCGTTATAAACTGTGTAAATAATAATAATAATAATAATCGTTGCTGAATAGACGTCAGTTGTGTTAATTGAGAGTGCAAATTTTGATCAAATTAATTGTTATTTAATTCGTAAAAGTTTATTTATTTAACATTTTTAATAAAAGTATTATTTATAAAAAATATGTTTTGAATTTTAATCTATCA